ATGCAACCATATCCTTTAAAAAAAAAAAAAAAAAAAAGAGGCTGGGTTTCCGAAGTGGAGAGGGATTTTTGCTCCCTCCGCCTCTGCGAAGAGGGGCTTACCCTCCTCCTTCCCCCTGGGACACTCGCCCAGGCCGTGGGGAGGGGGGCAGGATGGTGCCCAGCTCGCCCCGAGGGTCCCCTGCGGTGCTGCCCCGGGGGATGGACCCAGCGGGTGCTCGATGGGTGCAGCACGCGTGTACAATCATAGGTTTGGGGTTTTTTTGTGGATTCAGCCTGTAGCACAGGGAACGACACCAAATACTGCTAGTTTACCTATATATGTAGATATTTTCACTAAATCAAGTTGCTGAACTGCCCAGCACCACCCGTGCAACGGTTTCTCCTCTCCGTTATTTTACATTGTGCCCCGCACCCGCTGCTTCCCCCTCTTTACATGTGCTGTCATTGCCTATTATTTATGCTACCACGAAATAGTGATGAAATAAAATGTTTTCAAGATACCAAAACCTTGCCCCGCTCCTTTCTGTCGTGGCCGAGGGGCCGTGCACCACCTTGAAGGGGAGGGGGGGGGAATCCCAAGGGGCATTTTTGGGTGTGCATGGTGGCCTCTGCTTGCACCACAGCTCTTGCCCCAGGCTGGGAGGTCCCCGCAGCGTGGAGCGATGCTGGCCGGAGGCTCAGCTCGGTGCCGGGGGGTGGCTGCACGGGGCTGGGGTGTGGCACCCCGGGAGCAGAAGCCCTGAGTGCACGGGGGGAGCAGCCAAAGACGAGTCATAGCATCACAGAATAATTTGGGACCTCTGAAGGCCACCTCGTCCAACCCTTGGTCACCAGCAAGGACACCTTCCACTGGACCAGGTTGCTCACAGCCCCGTCCAGCCTGGCCTTGGGTGTTTCCAGGGACAGAATCACAGAATCGTTTAGGTTGGAAAAGACCTTTAAGGTCATCAGGGCCACCCGTTAAATGGGGCACCCACCACCTCGCTGTGCCAGCGTCGCACCACCCTCAGCGTAAAAGCTTTCTTCTTTCCAGCTGCTCTGAGTCTCCCCTCTTTCAGTTTAAATCCATCACCCCTTGTCCTGTCGCAAGAGGCCCTGTTAAAAAGCTCTGTCCCCATCTTCCTTATAAACCTCCTATACTGAGCCCCAAATTTGGCCCCAATTTTGCAGGTGAAATGCAGCGGTTCTGGGGCTGCCCCGGCTCCCCGCAGCCAGGCAGGCAGGAGCAAGAGGGCGGCGGGAGGGATGCTGAGATGGAAATAGAGCCTTAAGCTTGCTTTCTTTCTTTTTTTTCTGTTGTGTTGAGGAATGTGTTATCATTCGGTGTCAGGACTGGAGTCTCCTGGTTTTTATCGTGTCTCGTAATTGGAAGGAGAAACCCCTGCTCAAGCCGGTCTCGGCTGCTTCGCGCAGCGCGGCGATGGCTCGGTCCTGTTTGAGGTTATTTATGTCTTATGGCCTTATTCAGAGGGGGCGTGTTGGGACTTCTTGCACTGAATTATCGCTTGTAAGGGAAGCGCCACCGTTCCTCCAAAGCCCCTTGAATCGATGCGAAATAAGCCCAATTACAGCTGCGGGTGGGGATGATTAATGAGCCAATTAGCATATCTGCAAACATCAGCATGAACCGAGCAGCGGTTGCCGCCTCTGTTGCAGGCGAGGGGGACGTGTCGGGGTGCGGAGGCGACCGATGGGGGATGCAGCCCCGTGGGATGGCTCGGGGTGGGCTCCGGCGCAGCTTTGCTAAGGATGCTCACGGGGCTCCCCAAACATCTGGGATTCGCCAAAAAGCTCCAGCCCGAGCCGTGGCGGTGCCGTTCCCAGGTCCTCGCCGCTCCCCTCGCACCTCTCCTCCCAGACTCCCCTCTCCCAGCTTTTCCCAGTGCTTCCTCCTGCACCATCTGGGCGCTATTTACAGCAGAAAGGCCCATTTTTGGGGGGGCACTTGATGATAACATCTAATTTTAGCACCGAATTCCCTGCACTGCTGCAACCTTACGACTCGACCACGGAGCAGGGGCCCCGTGCAGCCGGGTGCAATCCTGCATCGCGGCAAGGACCTGCCACATCGCCCCTCATCCCCAGGGTTTTGTCCCTGCCCTTTGCTCGTGGCGAGCCTGTGGGGCTGAGCTGGGGTTTTTTTAGCTGCTTTGAGGTACTTTGCAGTATTTTCCAGGGTCTAAATGAGACCGATGAGTCTGTAACCTCCCAGCTTTTTCTTTTCTTCCCCCTCCCATCCTTCTCGCAGCTTTTACAGTTTCTTTAAAGCCTCCCCGCTGCTCCCAGGTCCTGCGGCATTAGCAGACCTGATCCCTTCTCTCCAGGACCAGCTCCTCCAGGGACCACCCCCCAGGAACTTTACCCAGCCTCAGTAACTCACAAGCATCTAATTTATCATCTGCAGCATTCCCCAAGCCATCCCCGTCCAAACCCAGGCTGAGGTCTCGCCCTCCCTGCACTGCTGCTAATTGCAATTACCTCTCCATCACAGCTGACAGCTTCAGGGATAACAGGGTTTAAGGAAAAAAGCTTAAAAGATCTCAGCTGGCCCTAGCAGCCAGCCCCTTCCTTCTTCAAACACAGCCATGGGGCGATTTCTTTCCTACTTTGCTTTCCCCCTCCGTATTAACGCTGTCCCTCCGTGCTCATCCTTATCAACCTGACCTACTTTCTGCTTCCTGGAGGTTTCGCTTTGTTTGAGGCTTGGCCTCCTCCTAGGCTTCCTAGCTGCAGGATTATTGTTAATTCTCTGTTTTCCAACATTTCCTGAGGGCCTGCTTGAGCAGATTTCGGGTGATTAAAACCCCCCTGAATTTACAGATGAAGAGACAAGATCTGGTTTTTTGAAATCTAAAATTAAAAAAATGCAGAGGAGAAGCCACTAGGAATTAAATGGGAGTTTCCCACCAGTTTGCTGAGGGTGACGCTGGTTCCTCCTTTTTCCAACATCCTTAACACCAAGGGTTGCTTT